AGCACAGGATGTGGCAATTGGGACATCATGGCGGCAGTGGGGCTGGTTGATACAGTGGAACGCTGATTCTGGGCCTAGCAAACAAGCACAGACTGGTGGGACCGCATAGTGTTGCAGGTATGGAATGATTCCCAGCGGCTGTGAAACTTTCGCATGCGTAAGGCCACTTTCCTGGAACTCTGTGAGTTGCTTTCCCCCGCCCTGAAGCGCAGGAATACCAAGATGAGACCTGCCCTGACAGTTGAGAAGCGAGTGGCGATAGCCCTGTGGAAGCTTGCAATGCCTGACTGCTAACGGTCAGTCGGGAATCAATTTGGAGTGGGCAAATCTACTGTGGGGACTGCTGTGATTCAATTAGCCAATGCAATCACTGACATTCTGCTATCAAGGGTAGTGACTCTGGGAAATGTGCAGGTCATACTGGATGGCTTTGCTGCAATAAGTTTCCCTAACTTTGGTGCGGCAATAGACGGAACGCATATCCCTATCTTGGCACCGGATCACCTTGCCAACCGGTACACAAACCGCAAGGGGTACTTCTCAATGGTACTGCAAGCACAGGTGGATCACAAGGGACGTTTCACTGACATCAACGTGGAATGGCCGGGAAAGGTGCATGACACTCACATCTTTAGGAACTCCAGGCTGTTTGAGCAGCTGTAAGAAGGGACTTACTTCCCAGACCAGAAAATTACTGTTGGGGATGTTGAAATGCCAATAGTTATCCTTGGAGACCCAGCCTACACCTTGCTCCCATGGCTCATGAAGCCATACACAGGAAGCCTGGACAGTAGTAAGTTCAGCTATAGGCTGATCAAGTGCAGAATGGTGTTAGAATGTGCCTTTGGACGGTTAAAAGCTCGCTGGGGCTGTTTGCTGACTAGCTTAGACCTCAGCGCAACCAATATTCCCATTGTTATTGCTGCTTGCTGTGTGCTCCATAATATCTGTGAGAGTAAGGGGGAGATATTTATGGCAGGGTGGGAGGTTGAGGCAAATCACCTGGCTGCCAATTTTGAACAGTCAGACACCAGGGTGATTAGAAGAGCACAGGTAGGCATGCTGCACATCAGAGAGGCGTTGAAAACCAGTTTCATGACTGGCCAGGCTACGGTGTGACAGTTGTGTGTTTCTCCTTGATGCAAACCCACCCCTTTGTTGATTTTAATTCCCTGTAAGCCAACCACCCTCCCCCCTTTGATCACAGCTGGCAAAGGAAATAAAGTCACTATTGTTTTCAAACGATGCATTCTTTCTTTATTAATTTTTTAAAAAGGGAGATAACTGATAAGGTAGCCCGGGTGGGGTGGGGAAGAAGGGGAGTAGGGAAGGACAAGGCCACATTGCTTATTGTAGCCATACTACAAATCAAAACTGTTTGAATGACAGCCTTGTGTTGCTTGGGCCATCCTCTGGAGTGGAGTGGCTGGGTGCCCGGAGGGTCCCCCACGTGTTCTTGGGCATCTGGGTGAGGAGAATATGGAACTTGGGGAGGAGGGCAGGCGGTTGTACAGTGGATGCAGCGGCGGTCTGTGCTCTTGTTGGCTTTCCTGCAGCTACATCAGACGCCTGAGCATGTCCATTTGCTCCCCCATTAGCCTCAGCATTGGATCCTGCCTCTTCTCATCATGCTCACTTAATGCTTTCCTGGACTCTGCCACTGAATGCCTCCATACATTCAGCTGTGCCCTATCAGTGCGGGAGGATTGCATGAGCTCGGAAAACATGTCATCGTGAGTGCATTTTTTTCGCCTTCTAATCTGCAATAACCTCAGGGACAGAGATGATAGGGGGAGCATAGAAACATTTGCACCTGAGGGGGGATAAAAAGGGAGAGTAAAATTTAAGATGATACATTGCTGAGAACAAAAGGGGGACTCTTTCACTATGAATCAAGCAATTCACAGCAGACAGTACATGTGCTTTAGGTACAAGGTCGCATTTTGCCTTTTATATTGAGCGCCTGCCAGTATGGTGACACATCACATACAGCTGGGCAACAGAATTCGGTTTCCAGGCAGCGATGGTATGCGGGTTTCAGGGGCGGCTCCAGGCACCAGCGCAGCAGGCGCGTGCCTGGAGCGGCAAGCCGCGGGGGGTGGCCTGCCGGTCGCCGTGAGGCGGCAGTCAGGCTGCCTTCGGAGGCATGCCTGCAGGAGGTCTGCCGGTCCCGCCGTTTTGGCAGCAATTCGGCAGCAGGTACGCCGAAGGCGCGGGACCGGCAGATCACCTGCAGAAACGCCGCTGAATCCGCGTGACCGTGGGCATGCCGCTGAAGGCCGCCTGACTGCTGTGCTTGGGGCGGCAAAAAACAGAGCCGCCCCGGCGGGTTTGGCTTCTAATGCCTTCATAACACGTGGGAATGGTTTCAAACTGCAGCGCCCTCCTTTCCCATAGCAAGCAATGCCGGCTGGGTTTGCCATTTAAAAGGAGGGGCTGTGGTTTTCGGGTGGATGTGCAACACACACTTCCCCCCACCCCTCCACGTGGCTATTTGGGATGATCCCTTCACCCCTCCCCCCACCAAGTGGCTATTCTCAGGGATGATCCCTTTTAGCCAAGCACAAACAGCCCAGCATGAACGGGGTCCTTTTACTGTTCCCTTACAAAAATTCCCCTATTTCAACCAGGTGACCATGAATGATATCACTCTCCTGAGGCTAACACAGAAAGATATAGACCGAATGTTGCTTGAATGCGACCAAAACCCAGGACCATTCACTGCCATGCTTTGTGCTGCAATGATTCCAGACTACTTGCTACTGGCTCGGTGTGGTAAAGTGTCCTACCGTGGAGGACGAAATAAGGCAGCCCTCCCCAGAAACCTTCTGGAAAGGCTTTCAGAGTACTTCCAGGAGAGCTTCATGGAGATGTCCCTGGAGGATTCCCGCTCCGTCCCCAGACACGTTAACAGACTTTTCCAGTAGCTATACTGGCCGCAAATGCACCCCAAGTGTTCAGGGCATATCAAACATTAAACACTATTGCTTTTAAACCCTGTACTGTAGTTACAAATGTGCACTCACCAGAGGTGCCTTCTCCGCCTTCAGGGTCGGGGATCCCGCCTTGGGAGGGTATTGGCTCCAGGGTGATGAAAAGGTCCTGACTGCCGGGGAGAACGGATTCTCCGCTTGCCTTGCTGCGCATTCTCCTCCTCATCATCATCGTCCACAAAATCCTCCTCCGTGTTGCGTGAGACTCCCCCCTTGCAGGTGTCCACGGACAGTGGTGGGGTAGTGGTAGGGTCCCCCCCCAGAATGCCATGCAGCTGATCATAGAAGCGGCATGTATGGGGCTCTGACCCAGAGTGACCATTTGCCTCCTTTGTCTTTTGGTAGGCTTGCCTGAGCTCCTTGACTTTCAAGCGGTACTGCTGTATGTCCCTGTTGTAGCCTCTGTCCATCATGCCCTGTGCAATTTTGGCATATATATTAGCATTTCTTCTTTTTAATCGGAGTTCTGCCTGCACAGATTCTTCTCTCCATACAGCAATCAGATCCAGTGTCTCCCATTTGCTCCATGCTGGAGCTCGTTTGCGATTCTGGGGGGACTGCATGGTCACCTGTGCTGCTGAGCGCACCACGCTGACCAAACAGGAAATGAAATTCAAAAGTTCCCGGGGCTTTTCTTGTGTACCTGGTTAGTGCATCGGTGTTGAAAGTGCTGTCCAGAACGGTCACATTGGAGCACTCTGGGATAGCTCCCGGAGGCCAATATTGTCAATTTGCGTCTGCACTACCCCAAATTCAACCCAGCAAGGTCGATTTTAGCACTACTCCCCTCGCCGGGGAGGAATACAGAAGTTGATTTTAAGAGCTCTTTGGGTCGAAGGAACAGGGTTACTTGTTTAGACACATTCATTATAAAATCGACCTAACGTGGCTAAATTCAACCTAACCCTGTAGTGTAGTCCAGGGCTCAGCCTATCTTCATTCTATAGTAGTCGACCTTGGTAATACAACTTGAATTTGTTATTTACCAGCCAATGATGACTCCACTTCAGAGCCACTTCTTTATTTCTGACTTGGATCCAAATGTAACCATATTTAGAGTCATTCAAGTACTGGAACTAACACACAAAATAGGCCTAGCATCTTCATGCTCTGCAACAAAGGCTGTGGAAAAGGACAAATCCCTCCCATAACAAAGCCTTTAAATTAAATTACATTATACATGAAAATAGTCTTTGTTCCCAAGAACACATACTGAAAAAATAAATTAGTTCAACTAACTAACTAAAAGAACTGTATTACTGCCCAGCATTATAAGATCCAATGCATCTGACTAAATGTATACAGTACTGCAAACCCCAAGTGTTTAAAAATCATGAGTCTGGCTGCAAAACAACATGAGATAGGTTTAAAAATCATAATATTTTAAAAACTAATAAATTTGCAGTTCTTTCTACTTTTGCCTTCTGCTTTCTAAACCTTTTGGGTACACTCAGGTCACATATTCAGGGTTTTCTCTGCAACTCTGCAGCCTAGAAACTTACTTTTTTTTTAAATGAAAGCTGAGATACTCATGTAATCATCTCCATGCATCTGAAGAAGTGGTGTTTTTTACCCATGAAAGCTTATGCCCAAATAAATCTGTTAGTCTTTAAGGAGCCACCGGACTCATTGTTGTTTTCATGTAATCATTTGTATCCAGGACCAAGGGTGTTAAGAACACCACCACGTATCACCAGATTTATAAAAAATTGCAGGAGTTGGCAACATTGCTAATTCATTATAAACAAAAAAACTTTTGCTGAGTAAAGTATAAATAATTAAGCCATATTCCATCTTCCTGCATGTACAGACAACTTCCACTAACATCAAAAAGTAGGGACAAATTCTGTCTTTATTTGGGCTGTGCCTCTGAATGTGGATCTCCAGAAAATGATTTTCTATAGCAATTCCAGCTTACTGCAGAGACCATTCTTAAACTAACAATAAAGTTTGTCCGCCAAACCAAATTATTTAGCCATTCTTTAAAATCACTATTCAACAACATACCTCCTTGGGGTTGAGGTGAATCATGACCACCAATGACAACCCGAATACCCACATCTTCTAACTTGAACTTCCATTTTTCAATTATATTAATTGAATTGTCCTGAGAAAGTGATGACATAGAGGCATCAATTTTAACTTATTGGGTAAGCGAAAGTAAATAAAAATTCTTACAAGAATTAGGTTAGATAATATTTTAAAACTAAATATAAAATATACATACCTTACTAGCATCATTAAACACAGACAACTCCATGGTACCTTCAAAATCTTGCTCCACAACTGACTTCAAGCATTCATCCAACCAACATTCAGTATTGTGAACAGGCAGAATAACAGACTACAATGAACAAACAGAGAACACACAAACATTATAAAACATGAAAGCATCCATTCTCCTTGTTTATTTGCTGTTTATCCAAATAATATTCATTTAAAAAAGGAAAGGGCCTGATCCTTGCATACCCTTTCACCAAATATGTACATTGGCCATAAAAAAGAAAACTGCTCTTTCCTTCACAAGTAAATGGTATTTCTTCTCCACCAAGCTTTATTATTTTTTTACTCCTCAAAACCCATTATGTGTTAGTTTCTGTGACTGTATTTCTTTGAAAATTCTTTGAACAAAAAGCAAACAAAATGTCTACACCACCAGTTATTTACTCGCAGCACTACTTATTGTCGTCTCCAGTCTCTTAACTTATCCTCAACCTCAACATTTTACCTCCATCTTCTCTCAGTTCAGAGGGGTCTCTATTTTTCTCTATCCCAGCTACCCAGTTTGAATTTTTATCTGTAAAGTAGGCAACTTACATATTTCATCTCAGAAATCCTTTGTAATACTTGGCCAATGTACTGTTGAGAGAGGCTACTTCTAAGTACATATCATAGAGACTTCTTCACTCCACCAGTTACAAAATTGCCTCTCTCATTGCATCAACTATTATATGTGTGGGCCATATATGTATAAAATGTAGAACTTATTTAAATTTTTTAAAATTATCTGTGAATTACAAATGATGAGAAATTAAATTGTATAGGTGTATAATGATGAGGCAGAGGATTGCAGGAAGAGAAAGGAGATGAAGGTAGTTGAATGCTGCCCTGGAGAACTGGATTCTATTCCTGCCTTTACCACAGAGTTCCTGCGTCATACTGGCAGGCGCTCAATATAAAAGGCAAAATGCGACCTTGTACCTAAAGCACATGTGCTGCCTGCTGTGAATTGCTTGATTCACTGTGAAAGAGTCCCCCTTTTGTTCTCAGCAATGTATCATCTTAAATTTTACTCTCCCTTTTTATCCCCCCTCAGGTGCAAATGTTTCTATGCTCCCCCTATCATCTCCGTCCCTGAGGTTATCGCAATGACATGTTTTCCGAGCTCATGCAGTCCTCCCGCACTGATAGGGCACAGCTGAATGCATGGAGTGCTCACTTAAAGCTTTCCTGGACTCTGCCACTCTGAGACACCTAGGACCTGATTTTTCAGAGTACTTAACATCATAGAAAAGTCTACGAGGAAATTAATAATTCTGTCTTCAAAGCATGGTTTGAATAGTGTGCAGTAAATAAGATCTGGGGCCATACTTTCAACATTTGAACAAATTACTGAATAGCTACTCATTAAGTGACTACCATTCACTCTGTGCACTGAATGAGACAGGGGTCCTGTGGAAAAAAACGGTATGTGATCATGTAATTAAAGACTGTATTGTAATGCAATACACACAAGAGGACTGAATAAACTCTGGCATTTCCTAACTTCTGAGTAGTTTTTTTGAGTAATGCAATATATGTCTACACAACAATCATGTGTATCATAACTTCGCACTTCACTAGCACATTCCCTCCACAGACCTAACAAAAATTACTGAACTTTACCACATAAGTAATTAATCCTCTCATCACTTCTGGGAAATAAGTATTGTCACCATTTTATCATTCTATAGATGGGGAAACTGAAACAAAGAGGTTGAATGACTTGTCCAAGGTCCCACAGAAAGTCTGTGGAAGAATCCAGGAACAGAATCCAGATCTCCAGATTCCCGTGATTTAACTGCAAGACCATGTTTCTTTCAAATATTAATTCATGTCATCACTATATTAGAATTAAGAAGAAAGCAAAAACATTAGAAAAATATTAAAATGGAATTAGCAATGGTCTAGGTTATGTGTATGGGGGCGGGGGGGTGTTTATCTATACACACATCTCTATATGCACAAAATGCATCTACTTTAGGCTTGATAAAGCGTATGACCTGATATTATGATTGGCAAATATGAAGTTGTCCAGTATTTCATAGCAAAATACAAAGTGATATTCAATTCAGACTTTATATTCTAAACCTAATTCTAAATTCCCAGATGCCAGGGAATCAAGCTCTATGAATGAACTCCCCTCCTAGTTTTTAACAGGGTGTTTTACTAGGGAATAGTGGTATTTCAAACAGGTGGGAGGGCTGTGTTTGCACAATAATGCCTTCTCTGCTTTTCTTAAATTTTAAAAAAAATAAGTTTGGTCCTCTGCTTTGATAAAATTATTAATAGTATCACATAGAAGACAAAGAATTATATGGCATGCAAATTAAGAAACGAAGTTTTGAGATTAAAGAGCTTTGCTTCACATTAGTACTTTGAGACTGCCAAGCACATAAGCAGAAACCTGAGAGTGTTTCAAAAGCAACTGCTAATGCTACACTACACAGTCTGACTCAGTCAATACATCCAATTCACTAAGGATTTTAGTACTCCCAAGATGGCAATTAGAATAAAACTTCATAGTTTGACACCACATTAACCCATTGTTGTTATATTTTTTAAAAAGGAAAAGTACTCTCCACAAGTCTTCTGATAGGCTTAGTGGTAGCATTAACTAGCCACAATACATCCATGCAAATCAGTGGTTCTCAAACATTTTCTAACCAACTAACCTCAACGCAAAATTTGTTTGGCTGACTACTCTATCACCACTAATTTGACTATTTTAAAAAATACACATAAAATGCATTAGCTGAATCTGTCTATATTTTTCTTGGATTTTATGTTTAAACAAAAGTAGAAAGGCAAGGTGTTATATTACCCAAACACTCTTACATTCAATATGAACAGGCAAAAATTGCAAAAGCAGCACTTTCATGGTGAGGCCTGTATTACAAAATTTGTAAACAACCACCAGCACCATCAAGGTGCTTGGCGCTCTGCACAATAGTTTATGTTTATGTTTTTAAAATACTATTTAAAAAAAATCACTGCGATCAAGTTTCCTGTCCTCAGAACCACCACAGCAAAAGCGAGATAGATGCCTGCCAAACTAAGTGCAGTAGTGGAATCCCTGAGGATACCTCTGAGCAAAAGGCCCAAGAAAGAAGTATTAAATGTATGTGTATATATATAACAGTACATACATGATTATGAACCAGTTCACAGTGACTACTGACTTTGGGGTTTTGTGCCATTGCTTCAGGTCCTATCATCCCTACTCAGTTTGCTGGTTTTCTGTGATTGCCAGGACCCCACTCAAGTCCAGAGACAGAGGTTATAAATATCACAATCCAACGCTTTCATTTTTCCCTCAGTTCATTTTTCTCAGTTTTTAAACTTGGTTTACAAGTTGCATTTGGCAATGACCCCATACTACAAATGCTAAAGCAGGTGTTCCAGTTAAAGTGCTTCAGTTAAAGTGAGAAAATAACCATGCAAAGCAGCAAATTTCATTCAGAGGCTCTAACATTTCTCACTATAGGAATACATTACATGCACTTTCAAAGTAATTATATGGGAACATCTCTCCAGGGGCACATACAGGAGTCTTGCAAATAGCTTATACATTCATTGTCATCTCAAGTTCAGTTCACAAGTGTTTAAATTGTAATCAGCCATATCATCATTAGTTGGCATTGATTTGTAGCAGAATCCAACAAGAGAGTATCTTAAGGACCTGTAAACTTGAAGAAACTTCACACCACATCCAGAGGATAGGACACAAGACTGGGAGTCAAGAGACCTGAGTTTCACACCCAACTCTGCCACTTATACAATGTGGAACTTATCCAGAGCCTTTTAAGACAATATGAGTTTTTCCCATTGACTTAATAAGCTTTGAAAAAGGACCTGTGTGGTTTTGGGTTCTAACTGCTCTAAACCTCAGTTTCCCATCCCTGAAATGAGAATAATGAAACTTAACTCCTTGTAAAATGCATTTTGATCTATGGATGAAAAACACTAAATGATTATTGTATGATAAGTCCCCACTACTTCTACAAATGTCACTAAACCAAACAAGTCATGTTTTCATGAATTAGAATACTGAAAATAATACACCTCTTACAAAACCAAAGAAAAGCAAAGGAACTGAAAAAATGGCAGTCTGTTCAAGTGCCCTTGATTCTGCATTAAAAAAGCCTTATTTTCCTGTCCCTATCCTCTCTTTAAAAGTTGAGATTTAAAAACAGAGAGTAACAGTTCAAAAGTGCCTAGCTGACTTAGGAGCCTAAGTCCCATTGACTTTCAATGACACTTAGGCGCTTTTGAAAATTTTACCCATCAGAAACAAATGTCAATTTTTGAAAACAAGCATGGGTTTTCTTTAACACATCACTCTGTATTCCAAGCCACTTCAGTCCTTCACCCTTGGAAAGAATGCATGAGTTGTCGCAAATGTCTTCCACAGGGTGGCCATTTATTTCAAATTAAGTTAGTAAGGTTTTTAGGCCTCAACATTTGATCTGACTTTATATTGTTAGAATCAGTGGGGAGAAGAGCTTTTAGATGTCTAAAGATCTTTGTTTTGTTTTTTTTCCTAGTGCACTGTTTTGTTTCAGTAGAGCAAAATACAAACTACTGTTATTTTTGAACCGAAACAGCTATGTCAATAAAAGAAAACACTTCCCCCCTCCTTCAAAACAAACAAACAAAAGAAACACCTTACGAAGAGTACAGAATACAAAATAAACAATTGCTATAAGAAACTTTGGGCAACGTCCTTTCATATTCAGTGATGAGACAGGGGTATGTCCAGCCATAACAGAGCAATTCTTTTTCTCTGTAAGTACAAATGTTGTAAAAAGAGAGGGCCAAAATCCTGCTTGCTTTCCGTGAGTACTCTCCCCTTCAAAGGGACAACTGGTGTAAGTATGCAAAGAAGGATCTGGACACAAAAGGAATAATTCTTTACAAATTCTTAGGATGACCACCCAGGATAGAAGACTCAAGTGTGTAAGTGTAAGAATGAGAAACATACCACTTGAATTCTACATCCTTCCCCGATTATAGAGTCCAATGATGCTCTGGACTGCAGCTGGGGATTGTCTGGTACAGGAGGTGATGGAGCTGCTGGCCATTTACACTTGGCAGGTACAAAATCACGGTCACACAGTTCTTCGTGCAGAAAGGGGACATGACCTCCAGCTGCTGAGGCGGGGCTCCTGGGAGCCCCAACTTCTTCTGACATTTCTATCTTTCTCACCCCTTGGACACACATAAGGCAAGCTCTGGGGAGAGGAATGAAGTATACCACCAAGGGGGTACAACCGGTTAACTATAAAAGAGGCCCTCACACTGCACCAGAGCCTGAGAACAACAGTTTCATTCCTGCTTCCATGGAGTGGCTCCTAAGTAAGAGCAAAGGGAACACAAGTCCAGTTCTAGCCTATGTTCCAGAAGGGATGGAAGGCCCCATTCCAGGCAGCTGCTAATGTGAGAAAACTACAGAGTTTACTGCTAAATGCCTCTGAACCAGTTAAAATGTTCAGGTCTCAGGCTAAAAGTACCAGGGGTTGGGTGGGTCAAGGCCACGATTAGCATTAATGCACCCACTACGCCCATAAAATGCACAATCACTGCCACTTAGGGGGTTGCTCCCCCTCTCCCCCCTCAGGGTGCAGTTTTCCCCTCCCCCCCTTGGGGTGTCCTGCTTCCCCACCACACACACACTCGCCCTCAAGGTACTGCTCCCTTCCCCCAATGCTGCTCTCCTCCCCCTCAGGGTGTTCTGCTTCCTCCCACACACACACTCTCCCTCAAGGTGCTGCTCTCCTGCCCCTCCGGGTGCTTCAGCTGCCTGCTCTCTCTACCCCCCCACCCCGCCTCAGGGTGGTGCCGCTTCACAGAACCTTCCCGCCCCCGTTCGGCTCGCCCCCAGGCGCGCGGCCCCCTAGGCGTTCGCGGCTCAGCGCTAACTAGAGCCAGGCCCCCTGCCCCAGAGCCGACACGCCCCCAACGTTCTCCGCCGCGCGAGGGGACTCCCCAACTCCCCGCCCCGGCTAGCCAGCCAGGGAGAGGAGTGCACACAGCGGCTAGAGGGGCCGGAAGTGAAGGTGAAGAGGCGGGAAGGTGACAGTCTAGGGAGTTAGAGGAACCATAGAGCAGGAGGATTTTTTTGAAGGTGATGGGGAGGGAGCTGTGATTAGAGTCAAGGGCAAGGCTGGAATGATGGGGGGGGGGGCTTGGGTGGTTGAGGATGGAGGCTTAGGTGCTGGAACTGGGGGTCTTGCTGCACCCTGGCTTGAAGTGGTTTCCATCATATGCAGGGTTTACAGTTTGGACATTCTACAACAGATTTAAAGGTCACTATTCTCAAACAAAAAAACAGACTTCAAAGAGAAACAGCAGAACTAAAATTCATTTGCAAATTTAACACCATTAATTTGGGCTTGAATAGGGACTGGGAGTGGCTGGCTCATTACTAAAGCAGCTTTGCCTCTCCTGGAATTGACACCTCCTCATCTAGTATTGGGAGTGGACTACATCCACCCTGATCGAATTGGCCCTGTCAACACTGGTACTCCACTTGTGAGGTAACTCCCTTCTCTTCATGTGTCATTATATATTGCCTGCATCTGTAACTTTCACTCCATGTATCTGAAGAAGTGAGGTTTTTTACCCACGAAAGCTTATGTCCAAATAAAACTGTTAGTCTTTAAGGTGCCACCTGACTCCTCGTTGTTAGTTTGGTTCAATGGCTCTCAACCCCCCCGCCCCCCCCCACACACACAAATTGTTCCAGCGCCCCGGACGGTTTTAGACCTAGGGTGAGGGAGGGGGGGTGGAGGAACTGTGGTTCGGATTATTGGCAGCAGAGGTGGGTCTTGGATTTAGGGGCGGGGGAGAGGGATGGGTGGTGTTTGGGGTTTTGACAGGGTGATTGTCTCTAGCTAGATTTTCAAATTGCCTTTGGTATCTGGCAGGGGACTTGTTTGTTTGTGTAAGGAAAGCTGTTTCCACTGTAAACTGCTTTAATTTCATGGAAACTTTCTCTTGTTTTCATTAGCCCCAGGCTTTGTTAAACACTGTTTTTACAATATCTAAATTTGTGACCCTATTTCACCCGACAATGCGCCTTTAAATATACCAATCATATTACTTTCCATGATGTAATGAAGCTTAGGTGGCTGTGCATGTAAATGGTGTTTGTTTTAATAGTAACATTGGTTCCTATAGTTAATCATCCTACAGCTTATCTAGTTCTGACACTTTGAAACTTCTAATTTTTTAAAATTAAAAAATACTCCCTGTGTCTTTTTAGTCTATTATTGTGTCTCATTAAGGACTGGTATTTCAAATGCAACCAGTATCACATTTTTAAAATAATAATTAAACTGGCTTTAAAAACGACCCAGCAACTGTATTTTCTTAATGATATCATCAGTAAAGATAACTTATTGATGAAAGCAATGATCCTGCAAACATTTATGCAGTAGGATAGCTCACAATTATAAGTGATTGCAAGGTTGGGACCTATATGGCAAGCTGTTTAGAATATAAAATATTTATACAAAGTAGGGATGTAAATAACATATAAAAACAATAACGTGTAACTGATTGAAATTCTATTGGTTACACAGTTAAACATTTATCCGGGGAACTAAGGGGTGTGGTGGGTGCTGCAGCACCCCCACCTTTAAGGTGGGATCCCTGCTGCCGGCCCTGCGCCCAGGAATCCCCACTGCCAGCCCCGCGCCCAGCACACCCGAGGTCCCCGCTGTCAGCCCCCCATGCCCAGGGTCCCGGCTGCTGGCCCCATGCCCGGGGCTCTGCTGCCCACACCAGGGGTCCTGATTGCCATCCCCGTACCACAGGTCCTAGCTGCCGGCCCGCCCCGGGGCTCTGCACAGGGCAGCAGCTGGGACGCCGGGCCCGTCAGGATGCTGGGTGCTGGCAGCAGCAGAGCCCCAGGCATGGCAGCAGCTGGGACCCCAGGTGTGGGGCTGGCAGCCAGGTCCCCAGGCATGCAGTTCAGCAGCCGGGAACCTGGGCAGAGTTGAATCGTTAATAGAAATCGATAAGCATCAAGCTTATCGGTTACCCGGTTAAACTTTTACATCCCTAATACAAAGTCATCTTTGGCAACCTAAATCTTCCAATTGTCCCTGGATTATTTAAAGACTCTATTAAACAGTCAGTTCAACAAGCAAACAGATCAAAGTTATCTTAAAATGTTTGTTGGCATGCAAATATGAAGGGGTGGAGGATGTGGGGAAGATAGCCAAACAATAATAATTCATCATCGGAATTCATTTAAAATTATCTGTCCAACTTCCCCCCACCCACTCTGTGGGCAATGTCGGGAAATGTAATATTTTTTCATCTGATAACATAGACTAACTTTATACTTCCTTGTTGCCTTCATGACTTTTTTTAATCCAAAATAGATGTAGCAGTTTGTTATTTATTTATATGTATTGCAGTAGTACCTAGGAGTCCCAATCATGGACCAGGACACCCTTGTGCTAGGTGCTGTGCAAATATGGACCAGATTGTTCCTCCCCCAAAGAGCTTACAATCTAATGGCTTTTCTTCACTATAGACACTATGGTGGCACAGCTATGGCACTGCAGTAGTGCCACTATAGCACTGCGGTGTAGACATTTGCTACAACTACGGAAGGTGTTTTTCCCATCACTGTAGTTAATCCAACCCTCTGAGAGGCAGTAGCTAGGCTGGTGGAAGAATTCTTCCATTGCCCCAGTGGTATCTACACTCGGGTTTAGTTTGGATTCACTACCCATCTCGGGTGTATGAATTTTTTCACACCACCAAGTGAGGTAGCTAGGTCAATGTAAATTTTAGGTATACACCAGGCCTAAGTAATTGAAGACCCAAACAAGGCAACTGGAGATGCATTTTGAGTTATATTCCACAGGTAGCTACAGAGGGCAGCTAAACTAACTTCCTTTCTAAATATATAATAAAAGCTTTTATTTTATTAAATTATTATAATTACTGTTGGAAGGTTGGGCCAGATTTGTAAAGGTATTTAGGTACCTAAAGATGCAGGGAGAGGCCTACATACCTCTCTGAATCTTTAGACACCTAATTATCTTTACAAATCTGGCCCTTTGTTACATAGTTTTAAACTCTATCCTTGTTTTATTTTTTTATTTTATGTATCACAGTGGAGAGAGTTATAATAATGAACTGTATCAAGTTCTTCTTTCAAATACATAGTGTGCCCAGCTTTAACACAATTGATAGTGAAGGAACTGTTTTACTTTAAACACTGTCTCAGAAAACCGCGGGAGCAGTAACATTGTACTGAAGCAGTGTTGCACATAACAACAATTACAATTTCTTAGAGGAGTCATGTCGTGTTGGTATAACTCTTACTTTGTATTATATTAACTTGCAAGGCTGGCAGGTAAAATAAATCATATTTTTACTTGTAATGTGAGCACATTTAATTTGGATGAAATCACTCAAAGACAGTGTCACCTTTTAAAGTAGAACCACACTTGAATATGTTTATAATTTTATTTAATATGTTACATTGTCATAATAGAATACATCACGGTTACATGTTTCTTTTTTTTTTTTTTTAAATGACTCAATCCTGAAAAGATTGTGGTTGCTTTTATGAGCTGATAAAAGTCACGAATGTGCTGCTATCAGCAATGCTGACCTTAGGCCCCTGTGTGGGTGGAGAGGACCCCACTCGTTCCAGTACCTTTATTCACGCTCTTCTTGACACACCAACTACCATCCCACTAATGGTACTCTTTCATTTCTTGTTGTCCTTCTCTAAATATATGTTGCACAACTATCATTTTAGGTGGCTCTCCTTTGTCGCAATTCAGTTGTTGTCTTAGCTGGTTGTTGTTTAAGAAGTTGAATATATTTCCTTGCTATTGCCTTTTCCCTTTATAATGTTTTAGATGCATCCATATAGGAGCTGGTTCAAAGCCTTACAAGCAAATTAAAGAGAGTTACCTCCTCACCAAGGCCATGGCATCAGAGGCAGGCAAAGAACTGGGATTTTAAAGTTTGATTAAGATATATTGAGGGAGTTACACTGGGGCACCACAGGTCTTTCTTTGTATAGGGTCCTCCATAGTGAGGGAGTCTTATGCATAGTCAAATGATCAGACTTAGTTGATCTCTTCCAGATGGAAGGTACATGTCTTCACAATAACTTAGTTAATCTTTTTTTAAAAGAAAAACAGTGACATTAAGGAGACAGTTTTTTACTGGAGAATTTTGTGCAGTTTATTGATAGCACTTTATGGGATATCCATCTGGGGTAGTGCAGTATAGTTTTGTAAGTAATTAGTCCTGAATCCACTAAAGTAAAAATAGTGTTTCCCCAATTTACCAAAAATCCTTTAATGGTTGAATTATTTGGAAAGATGTTATTTACAAAAGGCTGCAATATTCAGCTGGTGGAGACAGCTGAAAGTTAGCCTTTAAATCCCATTTCCCTATTCTCAACAAGTATCCTGTATGCCACAAGTGGTAACCCTTGAGAATCAAAGCTGCTCCTTGAGTAAGAATAAATCTTTAGAAAATTCAGTTTGCGTTCTTTGTTTTTCAAAGTCATGCATCCTTTTGATCTTCTTAAT